CGTGGCCTTGGGCAGCCTGGTCTAGTGGGAGGTGTCCCTGCCCATGGCAGGGGGGTTGGAACTCGATGATCTTTAAGGTCCTTTCCAACCTAAGCCATTCTGTGATTCTAAGGGGGATGAAGAATGCACAGGCTAAGGCATATATTTTGAGGACTTCTCACATTGGTGTAGATCACAGACTAGCAAGTGCTAACTATAACTTTTTCCAGTAAATGATTCCTCCACGGCAAGAATTTTTAACTGAACAGTATGAAGATAGCAAGATTGAATAGTTCCCACATACGAACAAAGAAGTTAATTTATAAATCAAGTCTAATACCACGGGTCCACTGAAAAATAGATTCTATCCTCAGATACTTACGTATGGTAGATGTGGAAGGTACAGGCTACTACTGTCTATTTTTGTCCCATTACTTTACTGTATGCTGTTCGTGACTATATTCTTCACTGCTTCATCCAAAGCTACAAATTTGTATATAACTCTGGGGAAGTCTGTTTGTGTCAGTGTCCATTTAATTTGTTTTCCTTTATTTGCAGGAATTCCAACTGATTTATTTTCAGCTTCACCCTTACATAATTTGCCTTATTACAGATCAGATCGTACTTATGTTCCTTCCATGCTATGAAAGCAGTGTGTTTTTTCAATTATTGTTCTGGGTGCTGTTTGTTTTTATTTCAGCTCCAACTGAAAAACAGTTCATTCATACCAAACCAAAAACATCTGAAAAACCAAGAATGCCACACACCAAACCCGGTAATGGAGTCATTCTTTTGATTTTGTGTTTGTGTTTAATCATTCTTTCCCTTAGCCTCAGGTTTTGTGCTTTTTAACGGAATTATTCATAGCTGATTTTGTGCTGAAACAAATGTATTACACTAAAGTCAGTCAATCCAACGTATGCCAAAATACACTGTAAATAGTAGTAGGGTTTGTAGTGTAGCATCAAAAATGTTTTTCCTCTTTTCTATTACGTATAGCAAATGATGACTAAAATATAGTAATGTGGGTGTTGACAAATTTCAGTGGCTAGATAGACTCAGTTCTCTCTGATTACTTCCTGGTAATCAGAGATGCTTCTCTGCGAGCATTTTTTTTTCTTTTTTAATCCATAAAATGCAACAGAACTCCATTGCAATGTGCTTGTACAGTTAGCAACTGCCATTGTGTTCTAGACTCATCAAAAGTAGTCTTAAAAATAGTTATGGGGTGCTGTGTCTCTTCCATTTTTGTTATAGAAGGAATGTATAGGAAAAGTTAGTAGAAAGATAATGATATCTGTCAGCAGTTGAAGATATTCTGCTACTCTTTAGTTTGGGGCTCTATGAAAGTTTTGGAAATAGTACAAATGCTACTTTGTTTTTATTGCAGTTTCATATTCTAAGATTCTTCACATTTTCTCCTTAACAGCAATACATCGGACAACTCCACAACCAATTATTACAAAATCTTCTACTATCACTGAGCATTCAAGGGCAACAATGGGTAAATAAGTTTCCTTAAAGTTAAGATGCAGGTATTTTTAATTTTTCAATGGAGAAATTTCTAGAGAACATGCTCTGGTGTGGTATTTTGTGTAACATCATTCCACTATTATTCATTCTGCTTACACACATGCATGTTTCTTAGTACAAATGAGTCTCAGTTCTATCCTAGAAGTAAAGCAGAAATAGCCTACAGCTTATGTCTGGTCAGAAGCCTGTATTTGTCGGATCTCCGGTGGTCTAATTTTTCTTTTAGAGCACGAATTTTAGCCACTAACTCAACTTATCCTACAGCACAGTGCTAGGACTTTTCTGTGTTTTGGATAGTCATTTTGTTTCAGGTTCCAGAAAGCCATGGAATTGTTATTGTCTTTTTTTCAGGCATTTGAGGCATGCATTTTCTGTGGGCTAAATATGGCATTGGATCATGACTCCTGAAGAATACAATAATAATCTTTTTCCTTTTCTTTCAGCTCCAAAAGAAACACTGCTCATTCCTTCCAAACCCAAAACATCTGTCGGGCCAGAAGTACCACAGACTAAACCTGGTAATTTAAAAGTTTCTAACTTTAAAAATGTTATTGTGGCACTGCCTTAGTTACACTTTCTGCTGTCATTCAGTACTGCAGTCATGTGACATGCAAGATATGTAGACAGAAATTAGCATCATTGTTCAGCTCAGAGTATGTCAATAAATTATATCAAAGAGACTGCCCAAGAACTGCATCAATTTCCATGCAGAACAGAAGTTAAGATGGTTAGGTTTTTTAACATTTGTTTGTTGAATTGGTGGCTAGTAGCCATTAAAAACGTGAGGAATTTGATTAATTTTAATAAAAATAAACTGCTGTAGCCAGCTTCCCTAAGTTCTTTTCTTTTGGGAGATTTTATTACCCTAAATACATTTGCTTCAATTTCTCAAGTACTTTTGAAACTTGGTTTACAGAATCTCAGTCCAAGATAGTCAGATGCTAACAGTATAGGTACCTTCTTCCTATCAGTGATTTTTGCTTAGTTTTGATTAGTTACAATGAAGCATGGTGATACCTCAGCTTTACACTGAGTGTGAACTATTTCCATAAAAATTACTATGTAGGAAGGTTGCAGGAGAAAAAAAAAATCAGGGGAGGAGTGACAACATAGTTATACGAAAGAGCAGCTCCTAATCTTTCTTACTCTCTGATCTAACCTCCAAACTGATATTATTTTAGTTTTAGGCAAATAGTTTAATGAATAATTTTATCATTTCCCCTCTTTTTTCCCTTAGACTGCTAGCCCTTTTTATATAGCCAAAAAGAATTTAAGCAGAGACCCTATTCATTCAAGAACTGTACATATATATTACTATGAAAATCAAACTGAACAGTCCAGGAAAAAGATTTATTTTCTAAAGGCCATATTTTGAAAGGCTTTCTGTTAAGTAGCCAAGTTAGATTGAAAGTCTCAGTTGAAAAAGAGCTATTTCCAATCATGTCATAGTCAAGGAGTGCCATGTTTTGGTACCACTACCAAGTTAGTTTTAGGTGAAGAATCTTAGAAAACAGAATTTGTAAGTTTATTCTTTTCTTTTTAAATTTTAAATAATTATAATGATGTATGTACAAAATAAAATACTGTTAGGAAAGGGGTTAAAAATAAGTGGCACTATTTAGCCACTGCTCTTTATGCTAGTAAGTAGGTTACTTTCCAGCTTCCATGTTTTAACCTTACTTCTGAAAGACAAAGAGACATCAGGTGTGTGTCTCTGCCTGTCGGTCTCCTTTTCATCCAGTAACTTAAATATCTTTCACTAAATTCAGGCAAACTTGAGTGAGGGAGACATGTCTGAAAGATAAATATCTTACTACAAGCTTTTAGAAATTTTTTAGGGAAGTGCAAATTAATATATACAGTGTGAGAAAGACCAAAGACTGTGAGAACTCCACCTTTAGGGCATTTGTTCTGAAGTTGGTGGCGGCCCAGCAGAATAATTGAACTGTATGGCTGTCAGCACAAAAATACATCCAGACTAATCAGAACACGTGTCTGTCCTATGTCTTTTAAAATTGTCTTAGCAGATGTGTAGATAGGTTTTTAGGAAACAAAGGACACAGATTTGTAGTGAAATCCAATTTCTTTCATTTCATTTCATTTCTCACAGAACAATGTTTTATTTCTTGTAGCTCCAAGGGCAACACACCTGGGATCAATTAACCTTATAACAGTTCATGTTGTTGATGGGTCCAAAATGACTTTGGGTAATGAGAATATTATGTCAATTTATTTTTTATAAAACTTTACTTTCTCTGCTTTTGCTATATGGCTAAACTTACTTTAGTCAACAGAAATACCTTAATATATCTTTGTCATGTTCATTTGTTAGTCACATTCCAGTTCATGTTCAAAATATTGCTGATTTTAATTTTCCAGCCATTTTTCATTAAATTCTTTCTAGAAATAAGTACTTCATGCACAAGGCTGAGGAGTCATATCAAAAGGCATTACCTGATCATCTTGTCTTCTTTTATCTGACGTATTAATGATACATATCTTCTCAGTCTCCAAAAGTCTTTTATCTGTATAAAAGCATGATTTTCAGCCAGGTTTCTAGCACTGACTCTTTTTGTTTATGTTCTGCACAAAGATAGTTTGAATTTCCTTTCCAAATGTGGTCTTATGTTTAAAATAAAACATTTGCATTTGATAAGCAATAATATCTCCACTTTCAGTTCCCAATGAAACGTACCAGATTTCACCCAAGCCCAAAACTGCTCTAGCAACTGAAATTCCACAATTTAATACAGGTAATTTTTAGGATTTTCTTAAGTTGTAGTATGTCTGTAGATCTTAAATAAAATCAGTACAGTTTAAGGGTCTGTTTATTATTACGTTTCAAACTGTTTGAAATATATAACACGAAAATTTATTTTTCCCCTTATCAAATGTTTTTTGTTCATTGCTCTGAAAATCAAGGTTTTATCAGTATTGCCTCAAAGATGATATGAAGCTTTTAAACAGTATTAGTGCTGTGTATTGGGTCCTCAGATGTATAGTATTGCAAACACAGATGTAACTGGCTTCTACCTTTTTCCTTACAAAATGCTAACTCTAAATCTGTAAAACTTTTCCCAAATGTAAATGTCAAAAATGAGTAATATGTTCTTTCCTGAATAAGTATTTTCTCTGACACTTCAGAGAGGCTGGATTAAGTGTTGTGGATAGAATAGTCAGTAGATTCGAATATCAAATAGCTAGCTCTATTTATTTAAAAATTTGAGTTATAAAGGTTGATAATTTGGCACAAGATGACAGTGACTACTGCTTATGCTTTCAGCTTTCAGTGTGATTCACACAGATTCTGTAACAACTAAAATACCAAAATTATTTGGCAAGCAAAAGGTGACAATAAGAAAAGGTTGAAGGCTTCTGATGTTAACCTTGATGAGGACACTATGCTTCAGCAGCCCAACACAGTGTCTGCATTGAATGCTTCCAGTTGTTGTCTCAACAATATTTTAATGTTTCGTGTTTTTATCTGAATATTTGATGGGGGGGGGGGGAGGTTCAGTTTGGTGTTTTATTTTGAGGTTTTTTGTTTGTTTGTTTTTTACAGAACCTAATTAAATGTCTTAAGGCCATGGATACCTTGCAGAGCTAACTCTGTATCCATATACAGTTGGGTAACTGGCTGTAAATATTTTATATCCTTTCCTAAACCTAAACATGAATGTAACTGGTCAGACTGCATGATGGAGTCATCTGACCGCTAAAGAAACTAGCATTTTCAGCGTGCATTTTGGATTGGAACTCATAGAATTCTCATATGTCCATTTTGCTGTATCGCATTGGTGCATGGACCTTTTTTCTGGCAAATTACACTGTGTAATTAAATTGGTGTTCCTTTTACACACAGCATTTAAACTGAACATTATTTCTTTTAGCACCTCATAAAACACGTCTCACTTCTGCAAGACCAAAGCCATCTGATAAATCACAGACCAGACCTGGTAATAATTGTTTATTCAGTTTGGGGTGGGGAGGTGGTTAATTAATTAATTAATTTTACCTATTCTCAGTGGAATTTTAAGTGCTGCTGGGGAAAAGGGTATTTTTCTTTCAATTAATCAGTCTAGAGGTAAAGACTTTCCAAATCAGAAAAAAAAAAAAGGAAAACTGTGTGTATCATCACAGCAAGTGTTGCTGCTTCTTCTGCGATGTGGAATTGTTGGCATCACATAAAAGCCTGTTGGGTTTTCTTCTCATGGAACTTTTTTCTTTTTTCTTCTTTTTCTTTTTTTTTTTTTTTTAAACTTTCTCACAGCTCTTAGTAAAACCACACTGGCACCAGCTAGAACAAAAGCACCTGGACTGCCAAAGTGGATTGTGCCAACAACAGGTAGAGCTGCAGTTTTGGGGGTTTCTTAACTTATCAGTAAAAGACAGGAATGTGACTTCCTCAAATCAGCTTGAGCCCTGCAAAATATTTCATTGTGTTTGATTATAGAAGTTAATTCCTCAGAGTACTGTATTACATTGCTGCTACTGGTCATGCTATATCGTTCCTGACTGTCATTATGAAATTATATTGACACTCTACACTAACAGATAGATTATTACGTGGCTGCTGTTTACTCATGTCTTCTAGATGATAGGTCCAAAATAATTACTGGAAAGCACTTCGTTGAAAAGTGTTATCCAGTTGTCTAAGTCCAAGTCAGAAGGCTTGGTAAGAAAGCCTTAAAGCCAGGTATCTTACTAGCTATGCACATGGTGTGTTCACATCGGACATCATATTCAGACTATGCAGTATTCAGATTACATGTATTCAGGCTTGAATACTTCAGCACCAAGGAAGTTCCAAGTTGGTGGATGATCGAGGAGGGTGAGACCTGTCACTTCAATTTACCCATCCTTACACACACAGATAACATACATCCCTAACCACAAAGATTTATTCATAATATTGGTTTGGTTGGGGGGAAAATAATTTATCCATTCTCAATTGTACTTGATTTTTCCATCTAATCAAAATAATGTTGTCAGTGCTAATTCAAAATGAATCCATATTTTTTTTATTTAACAAAGCATTAATTTATTATGTCAATACAAATACTGTTGGTTTTTCTAATGCAGCCATTGGTTAATTAAATACAGATTTGGGGGATTCTTCATCAATGACGCAAGTTTAAAATTATAAATAATAATAATAATAATAATAAATAATATACATAAATAATATACATATGCAAAGCAAACTTTTGGCTGTTCAGTGGCTACTAACTGTGCTACTGTCCCATACTATTGCACTGTGCTAGTTAGGTTAGGATAATCTGAACAACACACCATTGATTCTACACACTCCTTTCTTTATCTGTGTAGTGTTTCTCTGTACCAGCATTTCCAAAGTCTCTTTGGCAATTTAATACCTTTTGTTGACCTTACTATGATTTGAGCTACTCATTCCTGTAATAGCCTCTTTAGAACATGACATGCTTTTCTGTGTTACATACAGAGTGGATGCCTTCATTGGAGGTATGTGCTCTTTGACCTTTCGTAGTGCTTCTGGTAAATGAAGTGAGCCCATCAAATTCCAGCGCATCAGAGGCAGTTATAGTATTAACTGACCAATGTCAGCAGTTGTGGGCCAGAAAGTTTTGTTCTTTGCTTATGTTGGCAGTCTGCTTATAAGTGAGCTTTCTAATGTCTGATTACCGTAATAGGCAGAATGCACATAGGACTCCAGGAGTAGGTGGCTTTTGAAATCATGTTACGAAATTACACATGAATATATGTTAGACAGTATATTATGCTTTTCCCTTCTCCCATATAGTAGTAACATTGGCAGAGGTATTTGTAGATTAAAAAGAAGGGGAAAAAAAATGGAATGCATGCTAAGTAAATCAGCAGTATAAATGTAATAGTAGACATGTAAATTGTTAAATGTAGTTTATTGTGCTTAATGCTGGTTTAGGTGACTGCTGAAGTATTGTTTTAAGCAATCATATTTGAAACACTCCCGTTGGAGTGCCCGCTAGTCGGAATGATTTCCATGTCTTTATAGTATTGACAGTTGCCAGGAAGAACTAGAGCTTCATTGTGGTAGATGTCAAAAATTGTCACGAGGCTATTACCTTGCTGTGCATGCTATGTGTACTCACAGGCAAATAAGTACCTTCTTTTAGAATTCTTCTGGAAAATGATACTTCTACTAATATTTTCCATTGTTCAGTTACATAAGTCTTTTTTCTCGAAGTTAAAGACATGGGTCTTAATTTAACAGATGCCTGGTACCTAAATTTTGTGTCCTGCCAAGTGAGCCCTTTAAGTTAAACCCAGTGTCCAAAGTACTAAGGAAGAGCTGGCATTTATTATCAACTGTCTATTTCTTTGTGCCTCCAACCCTGCTGACATAGCAACTCATTAATATCTTTCTGTGAGTCTGCACCTTTCTTCTCCAAAGTGTAGAGAAATAGCCAATGAATTTTGTACGTTCATGACATGTTGAGAGAGGACTGCAGCTTTTCACAACTTTTCAGTCTGTACTTTCCTTGATGATCAGCAAGTGAAATCCCAAGTCTGCTGTAAAGCAGGTGTGTCACAGTATTGTCGCAAATGCAGTGCCTGAGCCTACAAGGATGTCTGTGCTCACAAAAATAATTTTGCACAACAAGGGAGTTCAGGTAATCAATTAAAGAAATCTTCTCTATCCCTCCCAAGCAATGTGCAATTAAATATTGCAAACAGAATTCCAAAGTCTGTGGAAGAGACTGAGAAAAGAGAACTCTACTAACCTGGAACCCTAAATCTTACCAGCTGAGCAAAGACAAAAAAGTTTCTTTTTCAATAGATGATATCTTAGAGAAATTATAACATTTTAAGACATACAGAGGATTTTTTGGGGTGGAGAAGTTTGTCTTCCATTATGAAAATGATATATTATTTTCTGTGGTTAGCGTATCTCCTTAACTTCTGATCTAAGCTGATCAGAATCCTTAATTGGACTGAAAGGAACAATACGTTTTCAGGCTTACCTTTAGACGTTACGTCATTTTTTTCTTTTCCTGAGGAAGAGCATATTTACTGAAGAGCCACACATACTCTGTCGTTTGAAGACCAGTTCGGATCTTTTAATTCCTTGTTGGGCTGGCACTGCTGTTGAATGTACTCCAGTTCTTCTTCCTGATTGTACTCATTAGCATCAGTGCAAAGATGTTTCACCCCATGCAGCGTGCTTGGCAGCTGCAGGGCCCAGATGATAAGCAGTGGAATTTGTTTTTTTCCAGCAGCAGCACATGGGACTGTGGCTGGTTTCCTGGCAGGCTTTTCAGTCTCCTGGCAAGCTGTGGTGCCAGGTGGTAAACTTGACTGTGGGAAAGAGGCAGGAAATATTGCCTCCTCATGACTAACATTCCTTTTAGTTTTCTACCATGTTCTAGCCATTTTCTCTATAATTTCATTTTGTTGAGATGGCTTTTCATATTTGTCTTAGTGTATGTAACTTACCTTACTCAGTTATTTTTTTTTATTTAATCCTAACCATTTAAAAACTGTTCCTGATGATTAAGCTTCCAGACAACCTTCAGCAAACAAACTTTGAGCAACATTTCCTTTCCCCTTGTGAAAGAGATATAGTTGGTTTTCATTATAACTGCCATTAACTCTGTGCTCTATTTGCTTTTTATTTTTGAAACTGTGGGTGTGTAGCCAAGTTCTAGAGGACCTCAAGTATTGAGGTATTTCAGTTGTTTTATCAAGGGCACTTTTTCCAGTTCTTCACTTAAAATGATCCACCTTTCTAATGATATTCCTGCTATTAAAGATGCAGTGGTTAGTTTTAAGGTTTTTCCAGACCCCATGAATAATTCCAGAATAAGAGATAGAAGTAAAAGAAGACACAAACACACATGCAACTAATACATCTGTTCTCAGTTCTGTTAGAAGTTTGGATGAATGGGGTAAGTCAAAATGCTTATAATAAGCAACTTACGTTAGCTAGCTAGCATAAGGCAAATGCTATGATAAATACAGCAAACTCTTTGATAGTGCAGGTACCTTGTGTGGAAACAAAACCAAACTTCCATGTAACTTTAAAGCACACGGAAACATTCAAAAAGGAGCTTTTGTCCACGGGGAAGTGTTGTGCTTTGATCAGATTTTTCCCTAAACTTTGACTTATTTTTCATTACTACTTTACTGCTTTCTTCCGTCTAGAATGTATACAATATTTTGTTCATTCCTAGCTGATATAACTCAGAAGAGATTGTAATTCTAAATTAGATTGTAAAGAGTAGGATACAGGTAGACTTTTCTGTAGACACTGTAAGATGCAAAACTAAATTAGACTTGTAATGGATACTAGGGTGATTTAGAGTGATTTAGTCAATGTACTACTACATTTTGTTGATGTATTTATTGTGAGATGAAACTAAGAAACTAAATATACTCTGACTATGGCCCATAGTGTACAAGATTATTTTTCTTTTTAAAGCTGGTGCTGGTCTTCTCATGCATCTTCTTCCTTGAACGTCATTCACATGAAACATTGATTAGCACTCTGGTACTTTGTATATCTGAAGATCTAATTAACCACTTTAGTTACCTGAAGATAAATTGCAGTTATATAAAACTACTTGATGTGTTTAGAAATTTTGGTCGCAGGGATGAGGTGACCTGCATCCAGGTCCCAGCTTACTACAAGTCTGATCAGTTTAATCTGAAGTAAATAATGTAATGCTTCCATACTATTCTTTTCCCCTGTGAGGAGTACTGAGACTCACTCTCACTTTTAGAGAGTGTAAAGTCTCTAGTCAATCTTATTTTGAGTGTAGTGCCACAACTCTGGATTCCTAAGGTATGCTTAGCAACAATGACCAAATAGTAAAATAATTGAAAAATTATCTGCCTCATGCAGTTGAAATACTAGTGTAATCTCAAAACAAGATGAGCGCCGTATTATGAACCTATGAAGTCTCTGGTTTAAACGTTTAGATCATGTTGGAATAGGCTTGTAAGTAGATAGTTAATTTGATTTTGAGATATTTTTTTTTAATACATTAACTTTCAGGGTTTTTTTTCTTATCTCATGAGAAAGAATGATTTTTATTTTTTTTTCCCACAAACATGATGAAATTGCAATGCATTTTCTCACTCTACACACACAGAATTTTCGGAGTTGGAAGGGACCTCTAGAGATCATCTAGTCCAACTCCCCTGCTAAAGCAGGATTGCCCAGAGCACATTACTCAGGACTGCATCCAGGCGGGTTTTAAAAATCTCCAGAGAAGGGGACTCCACAACCTCCCTGGGCAGCCTGTGCCAGTGCTCTGTCATCCGAACTGTAAAGAAGTTTTTCCATGTGTTGGAACGGAACTTCCTATGTTCCGTTCCAACTTCCTTCTACCATATATAGAGTTTTTAAAAGTAAATATACTTGTTTTGTATAGGGAAAGCTTATTAATGTAACAGTCTGGCTGTCCTATAAATATCAGCATGTGAAACAGTTGTTCTGTACCAGGAGTAGTTGTGTTGATCTTTTTAATGCCATTTATTTTAGGGTTTTTTTTAAATGTGTTTGTATAAATTTGAAGTAGGACTTTCCTTTATATACAAACTGAATTTCATGTATACTTTGCCTCCAGTACTCCAAATATGGAATATATTTGGCTCAGAATTGCTCTAGCCATTCCTTGGGGAAGATTACCAAAGATCTTATTTTGGGGAAGAATATTATTTGCAACAATCAATGGACATTTTATTCTGTATACTGAAAAACTAAAACGTTCTCTGTACTCATCTTTCCACATATAACTTAGTTAACTTGGTTTAACTTATCTGTTATCTCTTAATCTTTCTCATTCTCTTTTTCCAAATATACTATTTTCAAGGAATCTTTAAAATTAAATTGCAAAATCTTCTAGACCAAGACCACTTTCCACTTACTTGAACAGGAAGGTAATGGATATCACTAAGCTACTAGTAAAAATATAGATGGACCATATATGCCAGTTTTGCACTTAATGTTAGCTACAGTTGGAACATATACAATATAGAAGCATTCCATGATTTGGTAGTGCACTGTAGATACTTGTTTCATTTCCTTTTGTTTCACAGATGAAGTTTATACACCTGAGGATATTTCTAGACAAATTGGCATGGATGTGGAAAGTTCTTTGGAATATAGTGATACCCGGGAAAAGCCATTTTCTGGTAAGATTAATAAAAGAAGACAATATAGCAATTTTTAACAGTTATGAAAAATAAAAATACTGCCTTTCCTACACAACAAAAAAAAAAACCACCTCCACTGCAGAAAAGAAAATAATTCTTAGTCATCCTCATCAATGCAGATTCCCTTGGTTTCAGGATGCTATGAAAAGAGATAAAAATAAGAATATTTCATGGTCACTACTTAGTCACTAACATATACCATTATTAAAAATTACCACCACCAGAGCTGTATCCTTATGATCAAACAGCCACAAGTACTGATTTTTTTCAGACTGATAATTTCTACATAGCAAAGGAGAATAGGTTGAATACATAACCAAATTGTCCTCCCACTTATGAGAAAGTTTTGTTGAATATTAGGATTTTTAGGAAAAAGAGAACGTTAGGCTTGAAGCAAAATAACAAGGTGGAGTAAATAAGGTTACAGGATATTTTTACATGTGCTATACCAGTTTTGACTTTTCTTACAACTCCTGCAATCATATTTTCAAGACAATCAAAATATTTTTACTGAAAAATGCCTTTGCCAAATAGGCCTTCAAAAATAGGCATTCTGTATTTCACTTTTTTCTAGTAAACTTAGAAATTTTCTGTTTCAAATGAGAAGTTGTAGTATAGAGTGTGTTTGTATGTCACATGTATACACATAAATGTCTTTGTTTTATTAGCATAACCAAGAATAGGGCTTGGTTTAGCTATGCTTTTTTACTGGCAAAACTGAATGAAAATAAAATCTTTTTGGTTTTGCCCTTTGATTTACTTTTCAGTTGCAGCTGCTCTTTTTAGTTAGATTTTCCTATGAAAATATGCTATTGGACTTAAAAACACAGATACAAAGATAGGCCTCTTACTAATTTATAAACTGCTGGTTTCTCCTAATCCCTGCTGAATTTCCTTTGCGCCTAATTTACCTGCAGAAAGACAAGAGCCTATCTTGATAACTGAGTTCTGATGTTTCATCTTTTTAAAGTTTATTCAATCTGAAGATTGTTCTTTGCAAAGGTTAAGTACAATGCTATATGCCATTAGTAGCAGATGGATGCAGGCTGTAAACTGCAAACAAGGATGGGTCTCTGCCTTTTTTGTTACTGAATGTCAAGCAGTGGTGTGTATTTAAGTAAATCCAGCCTGTGATTTGCAGAGACTGAAAGGGTTTTTTATGCACATAGGTTTGAAGGAACATCTACATCTGCTTTTACTCCTAATATGACATTAGATGTTTAAAGCTAAGCTTTTAGAGCTTTGAAGTAAGCCAGTACCTTGAACTGTAATCATAAGAGACCGCTGGGTATGGTTATGAGATTAGCTACTACTGTTTTGTAATTTTCATGTATACTTATGTGATCTCAGCTCACTTTGAGGCCTCACTATGTATGTCAAAATTCAGAATTATAGAATCATAGAATGGTTTGGGTTGGAAGGAACCTTAAAGATCATCTAGTTCCACTGCCTCTCCCCGCTGCCACGGGCAGGGACAACCTTATCACTCTCTACAACTACCTGAAAGGAGGCTGTAGTGAGGTGGGGGTTGGTCTCTTCTCGCTAGTAACAAGCGATAGGACAAGAGGAAACGGCCTCAAGTTACACCAGGGGAGGTTTAGATTGGATATTAGGAAAAACTTCTTCACAGAAGCGGTTGTCAAACATTGGAATAGGCTGCCCAGGGAAGTGGTGGAGTCGCCATCCCTGGAGATATTTAAAAGACGGGTAGATGTGGTGGTTTTGGCAGTGTTAGGTTGATGGTTGGACTATGATCTTAAAGGTCCCTTCCAACCTAGACAATTCTTTGATTCTGTGATCTTAGCATGCAAAGAGATGAGGCTGATTAATCAAGTATTGCTATAAATTAACCAGTATTTGACTTTGCCTTTAAATGAATTTACTTTTTCTGAAAACTTAGTGTGTTTTAACTGAAAAAGTTTACATTTAGGCTATTTATGAGAAATAAAAAAAAAAAAGTTATGGCACACAAGAATTAAGCTTGATGGGGGAAAATCACCTCCCTTGACCTGCTAGCCACACTTATTTTGATTCAGCCCAGGATAGTATTGGCTTTCTGGGCTGCAAGCACACGTTGCTGGTTCCTATCTCATTTTACATCTACCAATATATCCAAGTCCTTTTCCGCAGGGTTGTTCTCGATCCATTTATCACACAGCCTGTACTGAGACTGGTGATTACTCCAACCCTGGTGCAGGACCTTCCACTTGGTCTTGTTGAACTTCATGAGGTTTGCATTGGCCTGCTTCTCCAGCCTGTCAGGGTGCCTCTTGATGGCATGCCTTCCCTCAAGTATATCAGCTGCACGACTCAGCTTGGTGTCATCTGCAAACTTGCTGAGGGTGCACTCAATCCAAATCCCTATGTCATTAATAAAGATACTAAACAGTAATAGTCCCAGTACGGACCCCTGAGGGACAGCACTCATTACTGATCTGCTTTTGGACATAGAGCCATTGACTGCAACTGTTTGGATGGGGCTGTCAGGCCAATTTCTTACCCATTGAATAGTGATCATGAGAGATTAGTCAAGCATGATTTGCCCTTGTGAAGCCAAGTCAGCTGTCTTTAATCACCTTTCTGTCATCCATATGCATTGACATAGCTTCCAGGAGGATTTGTTCCAAGATCTGTTTCAAGAAGGCCAATGGCATCCTGGCCTGCATCAGGAATAGGGTGGTCAGCAGGACTAGGGAAGTGATTGTTCCCCCGTATTCAACACTGGTAAGGCCCCACCTCGAGTGCTGTGTTCAGTTTTGGGCCCCTCACTACAAGAAAGACATTTAGGTTCTGGAGCATGTCCAGAGAAGGGCAATGAAGCTGGTGAGGGGCCTGGAGGACAAGTCTTATGAGGAGCAGCTGAGGGAACTGGGGTTGTTCAGCCTGGAGAAAAGGAGGCTGAGGGAAGACCTTATCACTCTCTACAACTACCTGAAAGGAGGCTGTAGTGAGGTGGGGGTTGGTCTCTTCTCGCTAGTAACAAGCGATAGGACAAGAGGAAACGGCCTCAAGTTACACCAGGGGAGGTTTAGATTGGATATTAGGAAAAACTTCTTCACAGAAGCGGTTGTCAAACATTGGAATAGGCTGCCCAGGGAAGTGGTGGAGTCGCCATCCCTGGAGATATTTAAAAGACGGGTAGATGTGGTGGTTTTGGCAGTGTTAGGTTGATGGTTGGACTATGATCTTAAAGGTCCCTTCCAACCTAGACAATTCTTTGATTCTGTGATCTTAGCATGCAAAGAGATGAGGCTGATTAATCAAGTATTGCTATAAATTAACCAGTATTTGACTTTGCCTTTAAATGAATTTACTTTTTCTGAAAACTTAGTGTGTTTTAACTGAAAAAGTTTACATTTAGGCTATTTATGAGAAATTAAAAAAAAAAAAGTTATGGCACACAAGAATTAAGCTTGATGTGTTAAGAGTCTCTCCTAAGAGGCTGCATGCCCTCCTTTTTCATGAAGAGTTACAGAGTCAAGAAAATACATTTCCTGTCCACAAAGAACCTCTGAGATTAAATAAATCCTAATAGTTCACCATGCCACTTTCATCACAAGAGTCTATTCTATCACAAAATCACTGAATTCTATTGTGTGTCCTAATTTACAAGCTCAGTCTCCACACATTGTTAATTAGATTTGGTAGCATCACAGACCATCACCTAAATCATTGTGGAAGTAGTAAAAGGGAAGGTTAGGGATTCTTGTTTGTGCAGAGTGCAGTATAGTGGATTCAGCTGTGACACAGTCCACTGAATGTGATGTTTTGGCTTGCATGTAACTTGCAGTTGTGTTGTTCGGATGATATGATGGAAACCGGTGACAAGGCAATACTTGCACATTTTTACCCCACAAATATCTCAGGCAATCCCATTCGCTAAATTGGGGCAGGGAAAATTAGTCATGTATACTACCATGTAGTAGTACCTAGGATATGATGACTTATATCTACAAAAATTTGTTATTCTTTTTCAAGTCTTTAGGCATTTATTTTTTCATCTACATCTGGGGATTAAGAATGAATATGAAACCTACAAATGCTATTTTCAAAACCATTAGATCTTCCTGAATTAGATAGAGCATTATTTCCTGTCTTGATCTGAGGGATTTAAAAAAAAAAATAAATAGAAAGGTGTTTTATAAGTGACTGCAAAAGTCCAAAAGAAAGAGGGAACAGAGAAGGATGGAGATGTTCCTGTTTGTGTATTATAAGTATTTCTAAAAAGGCTCCCCCAAATGAGTCTTTGGATCTGCTCCCTTCTCACCCACAGTCACTCTATTTATTGGGTAAACTAAGGTCAGATGTGTAGGGCCTGAGGTACTCCATGTAGCCAGTGACTCAGTATCAAGCAACTTGCACATTTGTTGATATTGGCAGCATTATAGGAATTATATTACTCTTGAGGATTTTCCCCTGTTAGGTATAAAAGTCTTTTGTTACATAAATGTGTTGCACAAATCTCCTGGTTTTTTCTTAAGGAAAGAAGTGCAAGGGTGAATAGTGGAAGAAAAATCTTTTCCTTTGCCTTTCCTTTGCATAATAAAATCTTTTATTATCGCCTGGAAAATGCAGTAAAATGTTCTGTAAGCATGAATTAAGAGGCTTAGGTTCTCCTTTCGGACCTCACTGTCAAAGGACCTTACCTGTTAAATTTAATAGATATTGTCTGGACTGCACATTGAAATAACCTAGTTGGGTGCTTCAGGAGTTTATAAGATGATAACTGCTTCTAGCTAGCCATGTCAGTGCATGAAGTGACAGTGACTTTTTTCATTTTTCACTTTTGAACAGGATAGGATAAAGTGTCCCTAATGATAATTTCCCTCTTGCTACATCTTTTGCTTCAAGCTGAGGGTGACTACTTTTATCAGTTAGAAAGCACAAAAGAACAGAAATTTTGTGAGAAAGATACTGAAGATGATTCCAAGTATGCTGAGGTGGTGTTTATTGTGGGAAGAAGTATCCTGTTGGCTGCCAAAAAATTACCATTGACAGAAATAAGTAACTACACAGAAAATGAATCACTGAAACATTTGTAAAAAAAGCCCAAAGGACCTACATTTTTTCAGTGTAATCTTGGTTTAAAACTCCATGGCGCACACTTCCTAAAGAATTTAAGGCTGAAAATACAACTCATTTCAGTTCCTAACCTCACCTCCCTGCTCTTGATACTAAATCAGACATGAAACACTGTTTGAGAAGTCAGAATATAACTCGTAATGGGTTTCTGATTATATGGAATTTGAGGTTAAATAATTAATAACACTGTCTTGTAATGTCATTCAGTAACTACATCACCTGGCCCTCAGCATCCTCCTATACCTCCTGTCAAGCCTACGCCAATGCGCAGAAAACCACTGCCTCCAAACACCGTGACTGGTAAACCAGGGAGTCCAGGTATCTCAGCCTTTTCAGCATAAGTATTTTATTATCTGTGAGATAATACAGAACTGACTAGCAAGGTATAGGAGAATTTCATAGTATAGATTCTTTTTCTTTAATCTATGGTATCTCTAGAAACTAGTCTTCTGGAACGTACAGGCCTCATGTCTTTTGTCTTTGTACATAAACTCTGTTTTCTTTTTGTTTTCCTAACCTAGTTATGTCAAAATCATCCCTTGTAAGGGAGCTGAAAGCAAAATAGCATAATGCAAGTCATCCTTTAAGAAGATCAACCTTGAGAACATTTCATGTCTACTAATATCATTTGCAGTTACTTAATGTGCATGTCAGATGGGAGATACGGAATATTAGGGTTCAATGCATATTCCCAAATGGCTATTTGTAATGAAATTCCCTCCCATGTATATGGCACGTCCATTAACCCCTACAAATGACAAGCTAATAGGCACCCAGAAAACTAACTGCACTGGGAGGCAGAGCAAGCAGAGTTATTTCATGTGCAAAGTGTTTAGCTTCATTCCTGTGCTCCAGTATTCCTGCTTCTCAGTATCAGTATAAGAGCATACAGAGCCTTCACATTTCCTATTTTGTTTTAATTTTATCCTGAAGCTGATATTCAGTATCCTTACCTATGTTTTGTTTGTGGATTCTGTATAAGAATCCTTAGGCTAACGTTATTGCAGGTAGTCAGAACCTATCATCTCATTATTTTTAGCATCATGAGAAATGCTTCCCTCCTCGTATTACTCTCTGAAGTTCACTGGAAATATAAAGGTCTCAGTTCTGCTGTATTTCCTGTTGGCTTTTTTTTTTTTAGGTTTGTTTCATGTGGGGCTTTGTGTGCTATAAGGCACTGAAGACCTAAATAATTCTTTAGTATTTTGTGCAGCAGATTAGAAGGTGTATATTTACTCAACTGCAGAACCAAGATTGAAATGTTGTCTGTACTTGCTGTTGATTGGTGGTGTTTCCGTAGTAATAGCTACAACAGAACATAAGACATTCTCAGTCTTAAGCTGTAGCATGAAAAAATGTTGACCTGATACGTTTTCTTTTGCTTGTACTGGGGTCTATACTAATTGTCTCCATTAAGTGTCTAATAAATTTATCAGTGTTTTGAAATGTAACCCTTTTTCCATACACTAGAGGCCAGGTTGTGTGGTAGTCAGCAGTTACCATACCTTCCTAGGCATTTGAGATGGAATAAATTGGTTAGATGATCTGGTTCTTCCTTATGGAGCCAGTAGCACATTTTCTTTTTTTCTGTGTTTCCTAGTGTTTTATCCAGCTTAGTTTTAAACTTCATAACTGAGTTTCTTCTGGTTCCCTGGAGATACTGTTTCGCAGTACTAACAGGAAAAATTTGCCTCAATGTTCTTCTTGGATTTTTCCTTTCATAATTCTGTCCTGTTTCTCTTTCTCATTAACACTGTGATTAATTCCTTACTCGCATCTTTCTTACTCATCCAGTGTATGAGTATTAGGGGAAGGTTTCTATGCAGACATTAAAAGTCTCCTGAATGGAAAAAAAGGAAACAAGAGAGTTCCAGAACCTTTGTGAAACTAGGCTATAGTGAGAATGTTAATAAATTTCCACTTTATTAAGGAAATTAGTGAAAAGTAGGGAGACAGTCCTTATTATGAGAATCTTAATAGATTTCCACTTTATTAAGGAAACGAATGGGTGTTAGGGATTTTTATTGTTTTAAACTTGATCAGCAGAGTTCTGCCTTCAGTCACCATGTTATTCTGTGTCATATATGCAGGGAATGTAACTGCATTATGTAGTTCTTGACTGTTTGGGAGTTCAAATTTCACAGTCATGCAGTGGTTATCTGGGAGTATCTGCATGTTTTGTGAATGTAGTTCTTGTCTTTCACAGCTATTTTGAAAACAATCAAGATACCATTTACCATGGATTGTTTGCCTCCTAGAAACTTTTCATTGTTAGATGATAACAGCTGAGGAGTAAAAGCAATGTCACATAATCTAAAATAATTTCTAAAATACTTATGTAATTATGGGAGATAATATTGCCTCTATCAGTTTCTATGGTGGTACAGAATAGATCAGTTCAGAAAGGAGGCTTTTGTCCTTGGGTCATGTAGCATTATAAATGTTGAAAGTGTTGGACTTTGTTGCATTTTTCATTGTTTCATTTGAAGCACATCTTAACTTTAGGTAGTGGAAGCTCCAGTACTGTTCTGTGGTTAAACTCTTAATGCAGACCATAGTTAAGGACTTAGTGTTTATCATTATACATGTTCCAGCTCAAGCCTTGCTAATACATGTCCTGTATTGAGAGTAGAAATGAAAGGACCTTTCCTATATTTGAGGGAAGAATCCAAGTTTTAGTTGCTGAGTTCAGTTATTCTGTCTTACAACTCATGAAGAAATGTTCTCTTTTATCCGAGAAGCAGAAATGCCGATGCTGGTCATTTTGCATCCTTTTACCAGTCTGTGTAGGATGGTTCTTCGCATTAAATCAGGTCATATTCTAGCAGACTGAAGTCCTCCAAGACAATCTCCAAGTAGCAAAAAAATTTCTTACTGGGTTTCAGGAATAGGTTATATTGGCAATAAGGACAACTTGGAACTTTCCTAAATCCAACTGGAAGCTGTCGTATAAGTTTTGAAGGGAATATCATAGTTTAAGTGAAAGTACTTGTTTCGTGAAGCAGTTCTTAGAACAAATCTGAGTTATGTTAGAAAATCAGAAAGCTGTTTCACTCTTTTAAATAGTGAATGCCTTGTTGCCACAAGTTCCTCCTTCTGTCATTATAGCTAAACCTGCTGGACCAACACCACCTGTGAGGACAGGAACGTCATATAAGACACCAACAGCTTTTGCAACTCCAGAGTATTATGGTAAGCCCATTACAGACAGTTCTGGTTTCTTTTTTTTTTCATGAACATAAAGGTTTGCTTTTTTTCTTTTGCTTCCCTCCCCTAAACTATATTGATGCACTGTATATTTAATATAAGAATTATTCTGTCTGGGGTGATTTTGATTTCCTTTATGCCACTTTGCAACTTTTCTAACTTGACTGAATTCATCTGGCTGTCTTCTGGTACACACCTTGGTAAATGACAACATGATGGCCCTTCCATCTTCCTAGAAATCAATGCATGTTTAGTAGGCTTTCAGTACTATTCAGTGGCTATTTTAAATCTGTGAAGGATAAGGCACTTGTTTTCCTGAATGTTTCTTTTTGCATTGGACATAAATCCAAATTATTGTTTGACTGATAGTGCTCAACCTGGTTGTGATGTCCTCCTAGCTATCTGATCAAGCTGCAACCATTTAGATAGGAAAAGTTGTAATATGCTAAACATAGTGGTTAGTTGGTAATTTGCCCTTTTATAAAATTGGGGGTTAACTACAAGTTCAGACCTAAATCTCCTCAAAGTGGCCATACAGGAATGGGTTTGGAGGAGGATGTGCTTAGAATTAATTTTTAAGCCAAAATATGCAGCTCTAGGTATATTGTCAGGAATGATGCAGTTTCTAATTTTCCTGGACTTACAGCAACACTGAAATTCTTGTCTCCTTATAATGATCACGCACTCACTGTGACCCTTAGTGCTTGGTAAAGCAAGCCAGACGCTACATTTATTTAAAAATGCTTGTTGTGAATATATTGTGTTTTGTCCATTGAGGTCCATTGTAGTATTTGCATCTGAGAGAAGATTCTGTTCACTGTAGCAGCTATTTAACACAACACCGTTGTCATGAATCCTGACTTGTCTGGCACATTTCTGCTCACCAGCATATTTGCCTTATATTTCCTTCAAATTTTGTGGAAGTTGTACGCTCTCTGGAAACAGAATTTGTGATTTCCTTGTCACTATTTTTAGAGTAGCTCATGTGCCAACATAATAGTGCTATATATTCTATGAACATGAAACAAGCTCCAAGCTAAACAGCCAGTACAGTGCAAAAATATACTTTTTAAAAGGTCTAAAGAGCATTTTGCATATATTGCATGAACTGAATCCAGCATCAGCCATGAACTCTGTCATTTTGATTATGCCTGTCTTTATGCTAGTGGGTACATACGGAGTTTACTTAGCATCACAGCCAAAGTGGAGTCCTTAAAAGGGAAAGACAGATCTGGCAGCAAAGGTCTACCGCAGAAGAACTTTACCATGATTTAAAATGCCAAATGAACTGTGAAATGCTGCAGCTGTAACACTGAAACCTCCTATTTATTGCAAATTAAGTTATAACTCTTTCTCCCACAGTTGATGCAACTGTCTTCAGCTCAAGTCCTACATCAGAAACAGATTCTTCAGGCAAACCAAGGTACCAAGGTAGGATTTTAATAGCTATGGTATTTTTATTTGGGGAAAATATGAAGACTGACATATCTTGCATCAAAATTATCTTGTTTGGTTACGTGGAGGCCAAAACTTCATTTGATTCTGTTCCACTTTAGTGTCAGATGAAAGTACTGTAGTGCAGGCCGTCAGCATATTCCTGACTAAATTTTACTTCTCTTCTACTTTCTTCCATGCTACCACCTTCTAGTTTGCAGTCTTACCCACAAACATGTTGTGACCCTTCCTGTATGCCAGCAGGAGTACATCTGCACACTGTTCACATTACACCAAACCAAATTAAAATCTTCCTGTGGGAAGCATAAATGGAGATGTATTGCCCCTAATACCTGTGCACCTTACCATAAGGGATATCTACCCATCATATATATACCTCACCCCTCATTCCAGGCTGTGCACGTTCAGTCTAGTAATATGGTAACATACACTAGACTAGATGATAAAGTAGTCAAGTTACTGCTGTTGCAGTCATTTAGGGAGTTTAGCAAGGTGAGATGACAAGAAGTGCTTTTGTACGCAAAGATTTTTCAGGTTTTTTTCTTGGCCTGGTAAGGGATACTACATTTCTGGAGACACTGTCTTTCTTGCAAGAGTTTATTGTTCACATAAAATGGAAGTTTTCATTTTAGAACTAATGTGTTTGTCTTCAGTAATCTTTTCCTAAATTTGATGCAGAGTACAAGATGTTTGCCTGAGAAGGTATGTTTCAAAGTTTGATCCCGTACCATTGAAAATGGTTCAGATTTGGCAGTCACTTTAGAAACTGCAAGTTTAATGATGGAATCACTCTGGACTAAACTTGTTACTCTTTCTGGTGAAACAAAGTGGTGATGGGCTTTACATCTTTGTATTAGCATAGCACTCAAAAGCTGCAAATGAAATTGTAGTGTCATTTTACTATAGAAGGACTAAAGTTAATTGTCCTGTTTTATGAGAGAAGTTAATTCTTTCAAACAGTGTGTATCAACCACTAATACCTTCAGAGTGATATTTCATCAGTGGTGCCAATGGGAGGGGGGTGAAGGCAGTGTAGATTCCAGGTCTAACAACAACAACAAACCTAACAGGCAGCTTAATACTGAATGTATGGTTTTTATTCTTAAACACTTATGTTTGACTTTGACTTGTGCAGATTTTTACTTGGTGCCCTGAGATGGAAGTTGTGCAGTAGGTGAAATGGCATTGACGTTTGTAAAAACACTCTGTATTAAATAACAGCACTTTCCTATTGCTCTTAGCCCCCCATGTCAAGTACATGAAGAAAGATGATGATGTGCCGTGCTCTATCACAAGCTCTCTTGAACATTTTCCTCAAGAAGAAGTTGGCAGCAGGGAAGAACCTACTCGTCCTCCACAAAATCCTCCAACCAACCTCACAGTGGTGACTGTTGAAGGCTGTCCAACCTTCGTCATATTGGACTGGGAAAAACCAGACAATGACACTGTTACTGGTTGGTTTGATTTCTTTCCTCCATTGTATCAGAATACAGTATTTCCAGCTTTTTACTTTCACAGTGGTTTTATGTCATTTAAAAAATATTTTAATCCTAAGGGAGTCTTACACCCCAGCGCTTTTATTTTGTGCTACTGTCAACTCCATGTTGAAAATGCTACTAGATTAGCAACAGCTATACAACTACATCATTGGTGTCAGTGGTGACACAAAAAAATGCCTTAAGTATGACTCTGTATCTTCTCTTAATTTCTGGCTCTTCTGTGTACAGGATCTGGTAAGATCTAATCAAGAAGTTCCAGCAGTGTGACAGTAGTGTCTATTATATAGATGCATATACATAATGTAGGCATCTTTCTTGACATGAGGATGTTGTTGAGTAGTGGGCCAGACAAAACGAAACCTTACATCCATGTAGTAAGTCAGTATAACTCTCCCAGCATAATACTTCCTGTACCCACCATAGGGTCCCCAAGTTCTCTATGGTAAAAGAATCTGTTTTTTTAATTTCCAAAGGAAGGGGTTTGTATTGAGAATAAATCCATGTGAGTCATGCAGGAATCAGACGGGTAAGCATGCCGGACAACCATTTGTAATTTTTCTGTCGTCACACAAGCTTACCAAAACTGAACATTTAAATTAATTATCAACTGAAAATTATGGCTCTTCTGTACTGTCAGGAAAATGGCTTTTGTTTTTATCACGGACTTAAAACTTTGACCTACAAAATTACTGGCTCATCACAGCCAAGACCAAACAGATTTGGCTGTGCTGCATCACAAGTGAGTAGAACGGGTAAGGCTAGTGAGGACTAAGACTTTATCATTAGCCATTAACTTTAGCATGTAAGTGGGATGTTTTCAGATGTTGTTGTATATGCATAAAATATTTGAGTGCAGGGGTATAATTAGGTGACTGTCACAAACAAGGCCACTCTATTCCCCTCCCAAAATTAGTCCTTCCTTGATTTTCTAGAGACAATTGCTAGATTTAACCTCTGTTCTTTCTTGCTCTCCCTGCCATTTTGAAAACTAATAAATGCAAAACCAAAGGGACGCTCAAACCAAAAATTAGCCTGCGCTTTTTTCTTGTGGGAAAGAGGAAGAAAGTTAGCCCTTCTGCTGGATTAAAAGGGGATTAAAAAGAGACTGTAGGCTAATAAAAAGTACCAAGACAGAAGAATGATTACCTGGCTTGCCTTCTACAATGTGCTTGATCCTGGAAGGAAAGGAAGTATGAGCTTATTGCTAACCTTAGAATTAGGCTGAGGATAGGCTCTCTGTGAACACTGCCCACTCCAGTCAGTTCTGCAATGCTTCTTTTTGTTCTGGGAAAATCCTTTTTGTTGCTGTTGTCATTTGGAGGCGTGCTCCACAGACCAGTCCTTGGCTTGACTAGATGAGATAACATCATTTAGTCTGAATGTTTCCTTGGAAGTAGACCTGCTGTTTTTCTTGAGTATGTTAATGAACATACCAACATTTGTCTTGTAAAAATAGAAAACCATTTCTACTATAGCTGGTAAAACTGTCAGCCCACATCATCTAATGATGACAGCAAAGCCTAAATACCTTCTGATACTATTTCTTTTCTTTTTCAATGTGTGTCGTGAAATATAGAGCAAGCAATATCCACTGTTTCTTCTGAGACTTTAGGTGGAAGCCCTTACTCTGTTCAGTTGTAATAAGCATTTGTAAAAGTTAACTTTTCATGAAGTTTCTTCTCTTCGGTAAGATTATTCTTTGATAACTGAGACACACCTTTTCCCCATTCCAGAAAATAAGATTAAAACCTTCTGCAGAATATGGGACTAAAACTCACTTGGCTTCACTGAGAGAAACTTTAGTTTTCAATCTAGCTATCTTCCTATCTAGATGTAACAGTTCTCCTATATATACCATCTTCATTCTTTTTAACTTCAATGTGTAATATAAAATGTTTGAACTCTGGCTTACAAATACTCTCATTGAGCTTGTCTTCTTCATCTTAACTTCAGAAAATTACTGTTAATGACTTATCCAAGGACACTTTCTGAATTCAAGAGAAGGCATTGAATCCCGTTTTTTGAAAACAGTGATTACTTCATATTGGCACCAGTATGACATTACTTGTTTAGACAGACTTAAATCAAGTTTTCTGTCATCTCTTTTTATTTTTGTAGTTTATACATGTTTTTTCAATCATCTGATTTAGGCATCACGTCTCTTTTTTAATGCACTGCTGCAGATAGAGCTGTGGAAACAGAAAATGTCATTTTTTCAGTTGGTTGTTTTTTCTTTTTTAAAGGTTACTTTGCTTGACTTCTAGCTATGCACAAGGGGTTGCATAGTACTGGATAGTCCTAAAAACAAAATTGTACTTCAGTAATGGAAAGGTCTGACAAATAATAACCAAAACAGCAATCAAGCTTACCTCCTTGTTTTCGTAAACGCTGCAGATGTCAGGAACCTAGACCATTTTGCTGGTGCTCTGCTACTCCTGTTGTGTTGCCACAGAAATATAGGGCAGTTTTTTGTCTTGTGGTCTGAGACTCGTGCACTCAGTAACAAACAGGTACTGGATGCACTCATTAGTTCTTTTTGTGTGCATGTATGCGTGTGCATGCCCATTCACTTGTGTTATGTTTTCTTTTCCAACTTGAATGAATTAAAAAGTTCAAATCACGTATTGACTTGGGACTGGAAGAAGGCAGAAAAATTGAATTCCTGTCAAGTTACCTACTCATTCTCTATCTGGATGTACCTAAGGTAGTGGATATCCACCCTTTCTCCGATGCTTCCTACTAAACATAATTTCTCTATTGAGGCTTAATCAGGGCAAATAAGGGCTTTTCTGTGTTGTTTGTTTTTTTTTTTTTTTCTCTATGGTTCACTCAGCCCTCGGTGGCTACACAGGAAAAGGTCTTTGTTTCCAAAAAAGAAATACGTAAAGAGAAAACACAGATATGTTTTACACAAATACATACTATCAATGGTAATATCTTTGGTCGTTGAATAGGGGTCCCACTTGAACAAATGATCTAGAGTAAAAATCCTCTACATAATTATTCCCCCCCTCATCTGAGACCCCCATTCTTGCAGGTGCATGCATTTGTTTTTAAAAGGCAGTCCTTGGTCTTTTGCTGTTCATGGGTGACTGTTGTGTGGGAGGACTTCTGAACGTGGAAAATTTGAAATCTTCAATATCGACAGTAATTCCTTCATGCTGACTTTCTGACGTGCTTTTAAACTTATTTTAAAGTTTTATGTTGCTCTGTATGTGCTCTAAATAACTGAGTCTATTACAAAGTAAAGATAAAAAGATGCTGTGTAGAGGTCCCTTTTGAAAATATTGCAGTAAATAATCTGAAGTTCACATGTGCATACATGTATATAGTTGCTCCAATTGAACTGGTGTGATTTAGAAGCTTGGAATTGTTTAACATAATTTGAATGAATAATTTGAATTTTAACATAATTTGAACTGAATCCCATTGCAGGTGTTTTATCTTTCTGTGTTGACAACAAATGGATGTCCTTGTACTGAGAACTAAAAAAATATATAGAAAAAAAAAAAGCCCTACACCTCGTTAGCATTTACTTAAGAACTTGAAAATTAATATTATCATTAGCAAAAACAGGAAAGAAAGTAGTTTTCTTAAGATTTTGTAGCTGTTGATAGGTGGTCTCTGTCTTTGTCCTCACAGTATAATACCTGCTTTATTCATTGTGCTGCAGATCTAAATGCTCGTTGCAAATGTTCTTTGAAATCATTCTCCTTTGCAAGCTTACAATTAGCAAAGATGCACTTGGTATTATAGACAGGTTTTAGGAAGGGGCTGGGGAGGTTGTGAATTTCTTTGCGAAGAGAGTAAAATTTGCAATATGCTCAGTGTCTTCACTAGAAGAGGTTGTTATGAATTGGGACAGAGGATGCATGCCAGAGGGAGACTATATCTTGGACAGGGCTGTGACTGAAGGGGTAGCTTCTTCCCGAACATCTGTTGTTAATTCCCTGTTCAAAGCATGGCATGCACTTAATGATACATCCCAGTGAGATGAAAAGAAAATAGCGAGACTCTACAGAAATAAATTTATGTAAAATTATTTCATTCTAAACTGGCAGATTCTCTAACTGCAAAACAAAAGTTAGTTGGGCAGTTTGCTTTGGAAATCTTAAAAATATATGGGTTTTTTAAAGTTAATCAGGGTTTAAGCATTTAGAAACTATACTTTCATCTTTGATACTTTTTTATTCAAACTGCAGAATGTTTATACTTTTTTTGTGCTTGGAATACTGTCACTAGTATACCTTTGGGCAGAAGTGATATGTTAAGTATCCTCTATCGCATAATTGAATTAGAAGGAAGGATGAGGGGCTAGACACTCAGCAATCTGGAATTGGATCTTTCTTTCCTAACAATCTTAGCATACTAATGTCCAGACTGGTTCACACAAGATGTCTTTACAGTAGACAGAAAGAGTGGAAATCAGATGAGAAAAGAGCGAGCAAGAAGAAGCTCAAGTAAGAGCTGTTATTTAAGCAAATGTCTCTTTACTGTAATTTTCCAGAGTATGAGGTTGTGTCAACTGAAAATGGAGCAAGTGATGGTGAAAAGGAGAAATCGATTATCACTACAAATCAAACCCATTCTACTGTGGAAAACCTAAAACCTGACACAAGGTAATTAAATAAAATCATTTTCTAAGTTAATCCAACTAATTTAGACTGTCAGCTCTCTGCAACTTCAAATGAAAATACATAGGTATACAAGACCAAATTGATTTTACTCCTGCTCTGATAGGAAAAAGATGTGCTTTGGGTTTGCTTTCTTTTAAGTTAACAGATAAGACATATCTGAGGAATCTTTAGGAAATTTCCAAGAGTATATACGGTCTGGACAAACTGCAGAAGTGACCTGTTCCGTCAGAAAGATTAACAGTCAAATGTAAGAAAATGTACTGCTTTTTATCAAAAATATCTCTGAATTTAGCAGGTAAAGAAACAAGGTGAACAGAAGGAAAAAAAACCACAGGAAACCTGATATGTGAGATGTACAGTTGTCTCTCTCTGGAGTTTAAGGATGCTCAGCACAACTGACATAGGCTGCTTGCTTATTTAGATAGATGTTAATTCGAATACTGGAATGCAAGTTAGGCCACTGTACGAAGCTTGACCATCGCATTACACCATGGAGAGGAAAGATACATTTGGCCTGTATACCTAGTTTTCTTGCA